TCACTTATCGCTTAGTAATAAATTATTAGTATAAAAAATGTATTTCTGTTTTTTCTTTTTACATATTTTGTTAAAAGGCCAAATAAAGACTTAAAACAAAAAAAAAAAGTAATTTTCTGTTTTGTTTTATTCTCGGATCAGGCTTTAAAGGATTAACCTAAGACTGTCACAATGATGTATCAAATGTCAGACTGCTTTTTCTTTCAGTTTTAACCTGACTATACAAGGCATAATAGTACAACATATACCGAACCGAAAACCATGACCACGAAACCGTGAACCGAACCGAACCGTGGATTTTGTGAACCGTTCCACCCCTAATTCATAGACCTGAGTCCATTCAAGGAGCCCTTCAAGAACAGCTGTAGCCCACTGATGAAAAATGGGAGACATGGTGGAACACAGAGTACGCTAGTCTAAGCTAAGACAAGCAAACCAAACCAGAGCATCTAGAAGAAACGTAAACAGAAAATCCTATTAAAACTGAGCTAAGTCTTCTTAAGACACCAGCAGAAACAACCATTTTTAACACCAAGACAACCGAAAGCTGGACAGCTAGGTGGATACGCGGAAAGAGAAACGGGTGAAAGATATAGCCGACAGACAACCTGGAAGAGGGCGATTAACTAGTAGATTAACTAGTAGATTAACTAGTAGCGGTGACCAGGGTTATTTTCTTTACATGTCAAACAAACTGAACTTGAAAACTGGAAAAGAACTTCTGTAATTGAGAAAGAAAAAGAACGTCGACCTAAATGCCGATATTAACTTTGAAGGATTGTTTTAACTCCATCTTGACTGACAGACTCAAATGATAAAAATAACTCCAAATGACAATTGGAAACAATTGTTTCAGATATAAAATTGGAGGGAGATGGAAGCGACACGATCCAGACTGTGTTTTTGTCGAGACACGTCTCGGTTTAAAAACAAAATCGTGAGAGGAAATCAAACCAATCACTAAGAATGATTTGTTACTTAAAGATCTGACATTAAGTGCTGCCTGTCTGAGATTGGCTGGAGCTGAACTGGAAGCTGTTCAAGTGATAAGACTTCTGTAATTGGTCAGTCTGACTGTGTCTCTATTATTTAATCTACAGCGGGGCAAAAAGAAGCCGCCATCACTGTCATGTCTTCCCGTCACTGATGGGAGCTTTTGGCTTAAACTCTGGCCCCAATTACGTTCCCCTTAACATGGATAAGTCACCCTGTCCCAGAGCATGGTGCTTCCACCCCCGTGCTTCACAGTAGGTCTGAGGAGTTGACTTCTATACACTCAGCTACACTCAGCTCTTTTAAAACCCTTTTAAAGACCCACTTTGACTCTCAGGCCTTTGAGTGAGACTTGGACTTTATTTTAGTTGTCTTAATTTCCCTCTCTTACTTGGTTTTGTTTTTTTTGTTTTGTTTTTTGCTCTTACTGTTTTTAATCTTTGAGTTTGTCTTGTGTGGAGGTGATAATTGTGTTTTATGATTCGCTCAAATGGCCTGTACAGCACTTTGATTTTAGCTTTGGCTGACTGAAAGCGCTTTATAAATAAAGTTGAGTTGAGTTGAGTTGATCCTTCTGGGTCTGGTGTGTTACTGATGGTAGCCTTTGGATATTTGGTCCCAAATCTCTGCAGGTCATTCATCAGTGGAGTTCCACAGATTTCCTCCTGGTGTCCGTGGGCTGGTCTTTGTTCTGGGTTGTGGTTGAGTTTGGAGCCTGGGTGTTTGAGGCTGTGGACAGGCGTCGTTTCTACAGATAACGAGCTCAAACAGGTGCGTTTAATACAGGTAACGAGTGGAGGACAGAGGAGCTTCTTAAAGGAGAAGTTACAGCTCCGTGAGAGCCAAAAAGCTTCATGTTTGTTGCTGACCAAATGTAATTATTATTTAAATAATAACATTTGTATTATTTTTATTATCATTAATTATATGTTTAGATTTACAATGGAAAATAAATATAATTTTCCACCATAATTTATAGATAAATTCTTTTCTTTTTCTTTTTTTTTTTTTAACACTGCAATGTGATTTCCAGGATTTTTTTCCTGCCCTCACACTGCTTTGTACCGTTTCTCCGTTTGTTACACTCACATTTAGCACTGACAAAGGAGACCGTTTGTGTCTTTATTGACACCAACATTTTGACTTTGCTATGCAAGTGTCTCTGCAGGGTCTTTGAAAAGACAACTTTAAGTTGTCAGTCGCAGATTTTTCAGCCTTTTTTAAAAGTAAAAGTGGACTCTTGCAACTGGATTCCATAAGACAAAAATCCTCACTTGTAGGGAAAGTACTTTTTGTCCGACAGCTCTCACTGGGAGACGTTTGGATCACTTGAGGGGAATGTAGTCGCTGGTTCGTGAGATAAATTTTAAAAAAGTACATATGATTTAAAAGTTCTTGTGTTAATTAAAAGGAAAAGAATGGAAATAGCATCTAAGAGTTGTAAAAAATGAAAATAAAAGAAGTGGAATGATCTGAAATGATTTAACAGCCAAACAGGAGCAGGCAGAGACATCTTTCGTTTCACAGACTGCTGCCGTAAATCCGATTTGCAGACCTGGTAAAAGATAAGACTGCATGCACAACCAATAGAGGCCCTTTCTTTAAAAAAATTTTTTTTTTAAAGTCCGAAGTTGGAGCCATTTTGAGCAACACATAAAGAGTCGGGCCAAAAACAGAGAAGTGAATCCATGAACTGCTGGAAACTCATCTCACATGACCCTGGACAATATGTCTGAACTAAACCAGGCTACAGGCCCAGGAAAATAGTACACACCTTTTTTATGTTTTTATAAGTCTAATCAGAAGTACTCGAGCCGCCGGTGGGTGCAAATGTAAATGCAGCGCGTTGGAGAAGCATAGAAAAAGTTTTCAAGTAGCTCCCAGAGATTATTATTTGCCTCTAAATTGCTGCCTCATCATCAGGATGGACCGCTGCTTTTCTGATAATGCGTTTGATCAAAGAAAAGAAAAAGGCCGAGCTACTCGGCAACAACAAAATTAGAGAGCCGGGTGGTTAGATGTTTTTAGGACGAGGGTTTTTATCACATGTTGCATGCTCTCTGCTCATTTCTCCCATGGCCTGAGCGCCATTAAGTCATTTCCTTCCTGTTTGCCGAGAGGCTTTTAGTCCATGCTTACCTTTCTGACACTTGCAGAAAGAATGAGAAAAAAAATAAATCACCTTATTGCCTTTACAAATCAGGCTTTTTGCTGAAGGCGAGTGAAAATAGGCTCACTCAAGAAAATGCCACAAAAAAAAAAGAAGCTCTTGGAACTTTTAGTGGTTCATCTACTAATATAACTAAAACAGATCCTAAATCTAATGTTATATGTTGTTATATCAATTCAAATTAACTAATTCCAAAGAAGCAGTTAATTTAATTAACCGTATATTGTCTGTGAGCAACTAGGAATGTACTTTTTGCTAACTTTGATTTATCAACGACGAAAAGTGTGCTAATAACACGTTTATTGCACATTTCTGGACCTAGTGTGTGGCTTACTGATAAGAATAGGTGGAGATAGAGATGTTTTTTTAATTTAAGGACTATTTTGCATGCAGTGCATTGCATATAAATTCCAGATATTGAAAGTTTCAAGAATTCTTGTAGAATGGACAAAAGCGCTTACATGTCGTCACAAAAATGTCTCCTCATTGTTTCTTTTTTGTTAATCAAATAGTGTGATTTGATAAAGATGCAATTAACAGATTATTTTATCACAATGCCTTAATTTAGTTAGCGAATATTTTTTTATTTCTCACCTCTACAAAAAAAAAAAAAAGATACTAAATAACAAACACGTTTACATTTTGGGAAACAAAATCATTAATGTCTGGAATTACTACAGTTAGTTTAACATACGAGTTAGGAGATTTTAAATGTGCCCAAAGAAAGCAAGTGTGTACTTTTACAGCCAATACTTTGCTAGTCGTGATATTTCAGAATACACACTGCTATTTTCTAACCTTGGAGGGGACATTTTGATATAAAGAACTTTTGTGTGATTAAATATGGGACACATTTATGGCAGACACGATAGCAACTCCCTAATAACGACAATAAAACGGAAACGACACGACGAAATCAAGATATTTTTTCTCTCTCCTGGCTCGTGCTCTCATCGCTGCAACACTACACTCACGTGACTGAGTCACATGATCTATCATCCATCTGTCACCAGTTTAGGTCCCGTACAGATGCCCGATAAATCCATATCCCACTAACAGAACCCCCGCCCGGTTAAATAGTGTCAAGAAAGACGTTCACCGGCCCGTAAAGCAAACGTGAAAGATGAAAGATAAAAGATAAAGGCTTCATTAATGCGTCGAGGAGATGTTACCGCAGTGTTTAGCTAGTAGCAGGGTCACATGACATGACAGCTAGCTAAACCACTGCTTTGTGTAGCTAAACTTTGCGACATAGCAGCCGTACCAACGGTTTCAGAACAGTTTATTATACTGTTTTTATTCACATAACGCCATGCAACACTAATACATATTTCCTGAAGGGTTAAAATGAATTAAACAGCTTTAGACTTGGAGAGCTACTGTGAGATCACTCTAGCATGCTAGTTTAGCTAGGACTGCGATTTAAAATTCTAATATCCACGGCATTGAAACTATTTCTATTTCCAGATTAATGATAAAACCAAAGACTTGAATTTCACCGGTTTGCCTAAATCCGTGGCATATTTAGAATTATATCCCCGTAACATCAGCACCATCGTATGATGCCTTCGGGTCCAACAGGGCTGCTAGCACCTCTCATCATACACCATATATGTGTTTAACTGCTAGGGATTGGGAATGAAAATCGTGAATAACTGTGTAGCTTAAAACATTCGTACTACAAACGCCACACACTGAATTCTGCCGTTTTTCTCGTAAAAGCTTGTAAATTGTATATTACACATCACCACCCTGACGCACTAACGCTAAGTGAACGCAACACAGTCAATGGGAATCTTTACTTCTTGTTAGCAACCAGCTAACAATTGCTACCTACTTAGCCTGGGCTGAGAGATGTAATTCCTCGTCACGGCCTGGGTGTGTGTCCTCGCGGCTCCTGCCAAGCCGTTGACGTCCATCGCCCTGTTTGCCACCAGTGTTGCCATCGTCGAAAAGGGGGAACGGAGAAAGATTGCGTCGCCCGCTGCGCTTAGCTAGCTGCTGAGTACTAAGATGGATGTCGGACACCAGCGGGTCACGTGACACAGAGGACCCGGATGTGCTGCGCCTTTACGACAGCAGAAAATGGCAAGACCATGTCCAATTATTATACAGGACTGTCTCAGAAAATTAGAATATTGTGATAAAGTTCTTTATTTTCTGTAAGCTGTAAGCCATAATCAGCGATATTAAAACAATAAAAGGCTTGCGATATTTCAGTTGATTTGTAATGAATCCAGAATGTATGACATTTCATGTTTTTTAATTGCATTACAGAAAATAAAAAACTTTATCACCATATTCTAATTTTCTGAGACAGTCCTGTATACAGTGAGGGAAATAAGTATTGACCCCTTGCTGATTTTGCAGGTTTGCCCACTTTCAAAGAATGCTTTTTTTCCCTCATCAGATGCTTATCAATTTTTATAAATTCATATGATGTGATTTTCTGGAATTTTCTTTGGGATTCTGTCTTTCACTGTTAGAATGTACATATGATTAAAGTTATAGATCGTTGCATTCTTTGTAAGTAGGCAAACCTGCAAAATCAGCAAGGGCTCAAATACTTATTTCCCCCACTGTAGAAATATATTCTTTTAAATGGGCATTATGCTGTGAATTAATTTGTTTCTATTTAGATAAATTATTTTTTAGAAAAAACCCTCTGTTTGCCCCTCATAACGATTTAATTTTCAAAGGAAATTTGACCTATAACCTTGCAAAAAAGGTCAGAAGTGTTCAGTCCTTTTGGTATACAAAAAAAAACCTGAAAATGGTGCGAACAATTATTTTTATTTTCTCTGCCTTTGCCACACGACCAGCATTTCTATTTAACAAGAGGAAGTATTGCCTCGATAGATAGATAGATAGATAGATAGATAGATAGATAGATAGATAGAT